TACTTGATGGACCCCTCGAAGCAAACATCGGTATTCAAAGGTAACAGCTTACGCGACACGGTCGCAGATGCCGTGGCGCTCGCGGAGCGCTTTGGCCTTCCACCGGGGCAGAGCTCAGCAGACTTCCGCTCACTATTGCTGAACTTCGTGGCTTTGAAAAAGTCGTGGTCTCCAGAGCAAAGAGAGGAAGCTAGCGCAGATCCACCTCTTCATTGGTGGCTGCTAGATGATGACTTTTGAACCTTCATGATTTTGCTGAACGGGTATTGAGTATCCCGACATCGTCAGCGGCAAGTGAGCGTTTGTGGAGTACCCAAGGTTTCACGCACACCAAGCTTCGCAATCGTCTTCGTGCCGCTACCGTTGAAAAACTGTCGTTTATCTACACTAACAACGGTGACACCAACCCCACGCGTGGACCCTTGTACAAGACGCCATTGTACAAGACACTTTCAAGCTGTTGTGACTGCACCTGCGACAGTGACGCCAATACCACCGAGGGTCACGAGGTTGATAGTCTGTTTGATCTCGACGACATGGAGTTTGAGTACATATTGGATGCGATCGTCAATCTAGATGTAGGCAACTAAAAAATCAGTGTGCTGTATTCAATGCAATTGTGTTAGCTAGCAGTGCCGGATCCTCTCTGTAAGTGCGTGATCATCATCATATTGGTCACGTACTGGGGCAAGCTGATCCACGGCGGTCTCATTTTCTAGTCCTTCCGCGAAAGGGTTGTCATCGAGTCCTACAATGGCGTCCAAGTTGCGGGTCTGCTCACTGTCTGATGTTGATTTGTAGTCGTCCTCCTCGATCTCGTAGTGCAATGACCAGCGACCGATGCTATTCTCGAGTCAATTCCATACACCGGTAAATGGAACAGGTACGAGGGAGTAGCTCTTGTATAGCCCAAGCGACAAATCGTTCAGTTCTACAGGGACGATCGGTCGTCCTTTGTCCTCAGCGAACGCCAATGGATCTCGAACCAACTCACTGCTCATCATCTGTTTGGATACCAGCACCACGAAACACGAACAGCGCAGAATCGTGTTCAGTGCCACCTCCTGTCCACTGATGTTGCGGTCGCTATAGCAAGCTACGCAACCTCCGACAGCCCCGAAGTCAACATCTGCACGAACTGACCCTCGGTTGTAGAACTCGGAGGCGTGCTACTGGTACAAGCTGCACGCGAGCACACCCCATTGGATTCGGACGCGGGGACAGCGGCGGCGTG